TTATTAACCTTTCCTGTGTGCCTGCGGTAGAGTATTGATAAGTCCTTTTAAGCGTGTGGGTGAGGACCCACAGTCAGGTACCCCGTTTTGTATCGGGGCTGCCCCATAACACTTCCCCAGATCCACTGTGTCCCCCACACTCTGCTCTCCCCTTCCCTCCCCCTCTAGTAGCCTCATTTCCCAAGTGACATGTCTAGGGTTTGTTTTTGTTTTTTTTTTTTAACCTGACCTTTGTTTTGGTTTCTCTGTATTCTGCGTATGAGCAAAATGGTCTGATACATGTCTTTTTTTCTTTTGACTTATTTCACTTAGCTTAATATCCCATTGAGTATATATGCCACGTCTTCTTACCCCATTTCTCTGCTGTTGGGCACTTAGGTTGTGTTACGAGCCAGCCGCAGCAGTCTGGGTGTCAGGGGTTCCTGAAGGATGGGAGCGTGGGCGAAATCGTGAGGAAAGGGGGAAGGGGAATGAGGAGACGCAGAAACTTGATCAGGGTGCTGACATCATCCTGCTGAGGGTCTCAGCAGCCCTTTATTTATACTAAGCAAATCGTGAGTGCACAAGCATAAGGTAGGAAGATAATAATCATCACATGTTCTTTTTCAGGAGCAGCCAAGGGTCTGTTTGCCTTCCCGCAGAGGTGTAACATTTATTATTCTTTGTCTTAAAGAAGGCACAGTTGCTAAACAAATGTTTTCAAAATAGTCATTTACTTTAAACAATCCAACAGTTATTGTATTACTAGCAAAAAGCCTATGTGTCTGCAACTAACATTTCTATGTTTGCCATGGTGAACAATTAACTAAGGGCCTAGGGAAACAAAGGGCAGGAAGTTACCTGGGGAAGGGAGACAAAGAGATTATTTCTAACTAACCTATAAAGTTTAGACTAACATATAACTAATTGATTAAAGTAAAAAACGGAAGGCTTTTATATAGAAATCATTGTTTATAGTATATTGCTTTTATATTGATTTGATATTAAGAAACCAAGGGCCTGGAGGGCGTTAATGCCAGGCAAGCCGCACTGACTCTTCCCTAGCCCCCAGCTCTCAATTAAGGGAGGAAGTTTCCTAATCTAAACAGTTTTCTACCTATCACTCCTCTACTTTATCTAGTCAGCCTAGTTTCCGTATTTAACTTTTAAGATCAAGGGGCAATTTTCTCTTCCATAAGGTTGCTGGTTGTTGTTCTAAAGAACTACAAATATTTTATCAGGGGCAGGAGCAGAGATGGTTATAGCCTTTGATTCTCAAAAATGGTCAATGTGTGACATATCAGTAGTTGTAACATTGACCATTTCCGAGTGTGTTATTTGTGCTGTGGTGATTACTAGCTCAACCATTCACAAAATTGCTGTTGACTTATTCTTGAATGTATACTCTAACAGCTACCATACCAATTGTCACCCAGGGGAATTAGCCCTAAACAAACAGGAAGAATTTAGCAGGAGTCAACTACCATGTCTCCTGGTTTATCAGGAATTTTCTTATATTTGGAGCGTGGTTCACCTCTGCCACCCAACTGTTATCTTTAACTTTAAAGTAAAGGAATTTCTTTTTTCAATTGCTCTTGCCTCAAAAGACCACATCTCTATATCAAAGACTTGGCCGATAGATGTTTACAGCCTTTTGTTCCTAGAAGTTTTTTCACTTTGTTAATGTAAAGCCAAATGTTGAATTGCTGCCTTTTTGGCAGAGAACTACTAATTTTATTAAAAAATGTAATATTTGTATCATGCGGTGCCATTTGTCATCAAATTGTTTATTCAGTGATTGATGAATATTTGCAGTTTTACTTTTAAATGAATATTTTAGCAATGATAGAAACTAGCCATAAACAAATGAGAATCTTGGAGTCAGCTAACGAGATTCCTGATTTTTCAGAAATCTGCCCCAAGCCCAGACTTTTATCAGACGACATGAGTAGCATGGCTCCCCATAAGGTTGTTTCCATGACTCGGCTGCTCTACAGGGAGCTTCAGTGAGCACAGGATATGTGTCTACCTGCAAGGTAGTGCTTTTGTGCTCTTTGGAACAATACCAAAAGAGTGGAATTTCTGGGTTACATGGTACATTATTTGTATTGTTTTGAGAAACCTCCACATTATTTTTCACAGGGTCTAGAATGGTCCACATTCATGAGGGTTATTCTTTTAAATAAACATTATTTTAGGATTGTTTGTAATTCATGGAAACATATAAAATTGGTACAGAGTCCCTGTCTTTCACTCACACATTTCCCCTGTTGTTAACATCTTATGTCACTACCTTACTGCACAGCTGATGAGGCAATGTTGATATGTTATTCCTAAACTCCATGCTTCATTTGTGTGTCATTAGCTTTTCTTCTTTCTGTCCCAGGACCCCATCCTGACACCACAGTAAGTAAAAAACCCAGCATGTTTCCTAAGGCTGCTTTGGCTGAGTCTGTGTTTTGCAACCAGCCCAGGCCGGGTAGGTTCATTGTTGGTTCTCCCAGCTGAAAAGGTAATTTTTGAGCCTTTGGTAGATGTATACAGGCCTTTATGCTGCATCAGGCGCAGGTCAGCTTCTCTCCCAGAGTTTCTCTGTGTCCAGTCTCTAGAGTCCGTCTCATGCTGTCTCGCCCCATAGGGGTCGCTCATAGTTGTCCTCTTGCCTCAGCGTGACTCTGCCCTTTACCCCTGGCCTCTCGGCACAGCTGCCCACACTTCCACAGGCACCCCTGCTCCCTGGCCCAGGTGTCCATCAACATGGGCCTGCGCATGCTTCGGGTCGGGCCTCCTCCCTAACAGTGGGAGGCCGGAAAAAAGCCTGGCTTTTAACTCATTTACTCTACAGTCAGTCACAGACTCTCCTGGGTTGATGACTTGGACATTTAGGGGAGTCCTGCGCAGGTGAATTGCAGAAGGTCCTTGAAATTGATTTTGGCTGACTGGGGTGATGGGTTTGGAAGACCACAGAGATGGAGCATCATTCTCAAGAACATATTGATAGTTGGGTTAATATTCTGCTTCTGATCCCCACTGATAATGTCAGCTGAGGGGATCAACTGGCTGAGGTCGGGTGGTCTCCACTTCCTCCCTGTGAAGTTCTTTCTTGTCTATGTCCTTCCCACATAGCATCTTTGGAAAGATCACCATGTGCAGCCCACACTTAAGGCTGTTGTGCTATAAGCATTTGTCTGAAGATTTTGTGCAAACATGTTCTCCAATGAGTTGGGAAATACCCAGAAGAATGGTTAGCAGGTTTTAGGTTAAATCTGTGTTTAGCTTTATGAGAAACTGCCAAATATCCTCCATAGTGACTGTGCTATTTTGCATTTTTTCCCAGCAGTGAGTGGGGTGTTCCTGTTGCTCTACATCTGATATGGTCACTGCATGTTGCACCGTGGTTTCACTCTCCAAGGTATCAGTCTCTATAATCAACTGGGTCCAAAACTTTAAAGTATAATGAGATATTTGGAGGAGATCGCATTCACAAAGCTTTTATACAGTATATTGTTTTAAGTGTCCTATTTTATCTTTTCAAATAGGTATATGTACATAAATTTAGAAGTCCCATTCTTGATCAAAACTTGTTGTGCAGGCAGAGGTCCCCAGGCTTCCGTCTCCCCATTTCTTGTATCTCAGACACATCCTGTTTTTCTTCTTTTAGCTGATTCTCTACTTGCTGTTTCTGTGCCTCTAGATACCATCTACCAGAACTCTGTGTTTACTTTTATGCCTCATCTTTAGTGAACTGACACCCTTTCACACAACCTCCTCTTCCCTATATAATAACATTATAATTTTGACTAATTCAGTGCACAGTGTTTGTATTATTTTTTTCAGAACATCTTATTGTAAGGTCAGTGCAGGGGGCCTGGTGAGGGCCCCAGGCCGTGGCCACAAGGAGGGACCCTGAAACTGCAGAAAGAAATTCCACCGTTGCCTCAGCTCCTGGAACCAGAGGCCTCCACCTGACACAAACAGGACCTGATAGTGATCAACCAAAAATCACCAATAAAAAAAAAACACCTTCCATTCCGCATGCCCAGTTTTCCACCTAACCTTCCCTTACCCTATAAAAGGACATCTCCCCCTCAACAGGTGCCACTTCTCCGACCCCATGGGGGTCGGTGAACCTGACCCAGGGGCGCAATAAAGTTCCTGCCTGTCAGAAACGTGGCCTGACTCTCCTTCTCTTTACCACGCTAATCCTTTTACTTATGACTTAATTTCCACAAAAATGTCACATCGTTTGAACAAAACATGTCAGGAGCCAGAGAAGGAAAACATTTTCAGACAAGACCATTGTCAGCTGTTGTTAAAGATGAGAAACAGCAAAGTGTTGACTGAAATGAGGCCTTGAGTTTGGTGATAATGTGTCATCGTCAACCTCCCACAGGCAGGTCCAGCACCTGAGCCCAGAGAAGGGCTGCACTGGAGGGAGCAGGAGGGAGGGAGCAGGGATGTGGACAGAGAACAACTGCCCAGGATGAAGAAGTTGTGGGGCCCTGGGCAGGGAGGCTCAGGAAAGCAGGGAGCATCTCCTCAAGCTCTGAACAAAAGAATGCAGTGAAGTAAAACTGTCCCTGTTCTAGAAACTTCAGGAAACTCAAACCACAGATTTGATTTTAGATCAAGTGAAAGTAACTGAAAATGTGTGAACCTCTTGGTTCAAGGGGTTTGTTGTTTTCTTCCACCCATGGCCTTAAACAGCCAGACACCCATGTACAGCACATTCTTAGAGAGGGTCATGAATGTACTTTAATATTGCCCTCTGCTTAGGAGAGGTGCCAAGATCAGGTCACACCCCCATTCCCACCATAAGGCCTGGGTATCCCAAGTCTCAGGGTCCACTGACCCCTCGAGGCTGGTGGATCTGCCAGGCCTTTCCACCAGGAAGAGCCTGCAGCACTTTTTGCCTGCCCTTTCATTTTAAGTTTAGATTTATTTAGGGTGAGAGGGGAGGGTGATCACAGGGTGACCGAGGGGCTGACCACAGGGGCGGGTCTCAGGGTCTCACACCCTGGATGTTTGGCTGTGAAGTGGGCCCAGACCTGAGTCTCCTTGGCGGGTATGACCAGTTCGCCTGCGATGGCGTGGATTCCATCTCCCTGAGCGAGGACCTGCGCTCCTGGACCCCCGCGGACTCGGGGGCTCAGATCACCCAGCGCGCGTGGGAGGCGGCGGGCAGGGCCGAGCGCGTCAGGCACAGTGTGCAGAGCAGGTGCTTCCCGCGGCTCCGCAGACTCCTGGAGATGGGGAAGGAGGTGCTGCTGCGCACAGGTAAGAGGGGCCACGAGGCCTCGGACTCCACTCCCTCCTGGCGCCCCACAGGGAACATGGAATAATGGGCAGAACAGCAGCTGCTTTCTGGGCAGAGAGGGAGAGTCCCCCTGGGTGTCATGTTCTGTGCTAGAGAGAGACTCGCCCAGAAGACACCACTTTTCTGGACAGTTAAGGAATCCAGTCTCCCTGAAATATCTTCACTGGATCTTTTGACCCGGCAGCCATCTTGGGAACAATGAGTTTCTCTTTCAAGCCCTTGTTTTTGGTCTGAGAACATTTTTGGATCTGACTCCTGCCTTTCTGTGTCATTCACCCTCGACCAAGGTCAGGAGCAGGACTGTGTTCTCCTTAGAGACCTGCATCCACCTACCCTGGGCTCTCACCCGATTATCCCAGATTCCCCAGACCAGGCTGGTTTCTGGGTTTTGTGCTTCCTCCCTCCAAACCAATTTTCATGTTCATTTTGAGGATAGTCAGTGAGGCTACTTCAGTGTCCATGGAGGAAACCTAAAATGTGATACTTCTGATTTGTTCCCCTTCAGATTCCTCAAAGACACTCAGGACTCACCACCCCACCTCTGAGCATAAGGTCACCCTGAGGTGCTGGGCCCTGGGCTTCTACCCTGCAGACATCACCCTGACCTGGCAGCGAGATGGGGAGAACCTGACCCAGGACATGGAGCTGGTGGAGACCAGGCCCGGGGGGGATGGAAACTTCCAGAAGTGGGCGGCTGTAGTGGTGCCTTCTGGAGAGGAGCAGAGCTACACGTGCCATGTGCAACATGAGGGGCTACTGGAAACCCGAGTCCTAAGATGGGGTAAGGAGGGGGATGTGGAGACCTTCAGAGGGTCAGGATGAGCACTGGGGCTCAGGGTCTCACCTTCCCTTCCCTTCCAGTGCCCCCTCCTCAGGGCCACCGGGGCTTCATTGCTGGCCTGGGTTCTTCCTGGAGCTGTGCTCACTGGAGCTGTGGTGGCTGCAGCTGTGATGTGGAGGAAGAAGCAATGACTTAGGGAAGGGAGTCGGGGATCTTGTCCACTGGGGGCTTTCATGTCCCAGGGAAAACTTGCCCTACCAGGTTAGTAGGAAGTGTTTAATCTACACGCATATGTTGCCCAGTCTGGAGCTGATTGCTAACACTCACTCTTTTGTAAAGCACTTATGAAAATGAATGACCAATGTTTCATGTTGTAATTCTGGTGATGGGGATCTGTTTTCCAGAAAATGTCATAGGGGATGGACCCTGATGAGGACAGACTCCAGTTCCCTTTACATCCATTGTTCATATATCCCAGTCCTGATCTTACAGTCACAGTTCTAGAAACTTCCCTGTGGCCCAGAACTAGGAGATTCCTTTAGGACTCCATGGGCTGACTCCTCCCTTGTCTCATATGATGTTTCTTCCCACGGGGGGACAAGGAGAGAGCTACATTCAGGGTGCAGGTAAGTGTGGATCAGGGGTTGGATCCCTGAGCCCCTGAGGACAGTGTAGAGGGAACTCTAGGGAGAATCACCCTCATCAGTTCCTCTGAGGGTCTCACCTCTGGGCTCTGACCAGATTCTCTTTTGTTCTTCCTCCAACAGCGATGTGCCCAGGGCTCCGATGTGTCTCTCAGCTCCTTGAGGTGAGACCCTGGAGGCCTGCGGTGGGAGGGGCTGGGGCAGAGAGGATGGGACCAGGTTATGGGGAAGCTGTGGGTGGGACATTCTGAGGATGCGGTGGACTATGGAGAATGTCGACACTTAGGGTCATTCACCTGAATTTCTTCAATATTATTTTCCTTCATAGAGTGAGAGAGCTACATTGTGTGGGACTAAGTGTTATAGGATTTCTCTCACCCCCATTTTGTAACTTCAGGATCTTCTGGTTTATTTAATTTTATTTTCTATAAAATCAGTGCTACAAACTTTATTGACTTTGGTTGAGCAGAGAATGGTTTTCAGGAAAGCCAGGGAGGAGGCTCATCATCTCTACTGACAAGATGTAGAATCCCCAGAACAGGAGGTAGCTGTCCCAGTCGGTGGTATATCCCAACTGGGACCCCAGCAGTGAGGGAATATAAATGTTGGAGCTGTATAAAAAGTGATTACTGGTAGGACTGCCGCAGGGAATTCCCAAACAAAGAAATTTCAGTACAATTCTACAGTTTGAACAGAGGGCTAATGCGGATCCATCAGAGTTCCCTGAACCAATTATGCAAACATATAAATCCAGATGCCCCAGAAAATGCCTGTCTGATCACTATGGTGTGCATTACGCTTAATGCCCTGGACATAGGGAGAAAGTTAACAAAGGTAGATGGCATCACAGAGATGAGTGCGTCCCAGGAAGCAAACTTGGCATTTAGGGTTTATAATTACAGAGAGGACAGGAGACCAAATCCTGCGACTGTTTTTGTACAGAGGGAGCACAGGACAGGGCTTCAGGGAAACAGTAACAGAAAGAGACATGAACCCAGGAAAAGTGAGCCCCTAGGGAGTAATCAGTGTGCTTATGCAGGGAAGAGGAACATTGGAAGTACAGTTGTCCCAAATTACAGGTAAATAGGAGGGAAAATAATGACAGAAGGCAGGAAAGAAAGCCAAAGACACCACGACATGATGATTCATGCAGGGGTTACTGTGTGGAATATAAACGGAGTACAAGGGACCTGGAACCAAGGAGAGAGGAAAGGAGAGAAATGATAGCACAGAGCAGAGGCTCAGGTGAGGATAGGAGGGAAGACGGACAGAGAAGATGGAATCAAGAGCCAAGCACATAGGAAAAGGAGACAAATGATAGTACAGAGAGACTGTTCAGATGAAGAATAGGGGGGCCCAGGGGCTCCACTAGATCTAAAAAAGACCATTAGAAAACCCCCTCAGAGCCCTGGGTAACATCCATTGTGGGGGACCATTTGATTGCAAAGAGACTGCAGCAGTCACTGGGATCCCAGGAAGGCCACAACAGAAAGCCTTCTTACAACCTCTGGAGTGCCGGCTGGGCACCACACAGCTCCAGCACAGCTTCCTGTACATGGAAGAGTGTCCAGTCCCTCTACTTGGTTGTGACCTTTTAAGCAAGCTAAATGTACAAATTACGTTCTCACCCCAAAATCAGAGGCTTCACCTACTTGTACCTCCAGAACATGCACTGCAGTTCCAGATGTTACTTACTCAGGATGTTCCAACAAAAGATGAAGTTTTACCTTCAGAAATTGTTGAAAGTGTAAGTAAATGGATATGGGCTGATGGGACCCCAGCATGTGTGAAAAATGCAGAACCTGTAAAGATAGAGGTGATAGAGAGGAGCAAAACCCCAAGGAGGAAGCAATACCCCCTAAAAGAGGAGGCCTGGAGGGGAATTGAGCCAGTATAAAAAGTCCCTTTGATCTGTACTCATTCGGCCCTGCCGCTCATGGTACAACACTCCCAATTTTGCCAGTAAAGAAACCCTATACAGGTGAGTACCATTTTGTTCAAGATTTAAGGGCCATTAATGAAATTTTCCAAGACATGCATCCAATGGTGCCTAATCCCTACATCTTATTAACTGCCATACCTGGTGACTTTGGGTGGTTTTCTGTATTAGACATTAAGGATGCCCTTTTCTGTATCCCAACAGACGTCCAGGATCAACTGCTTCTTGCCTTTGAATGGCAACACCGTAAGTCCAAGAGCACTCTCCAGTTTTCTGGACTGTGCTTCCACAAGGCTTTAAGAACTCCCCAACTATTTTGGGGGAAATACTAGCCAGGGATCTCAGGAAGATTCAATTAAACTAGGGCATCTTATTACAGTATGCAGTCAATTTATTGATCGCAAGTCTAGGCTATGAATCTTGCCTGGAAAATAACAGCGGTACTGAACCACCTGGCAGAATGTGGCTACAAGATGTCACCTCAAAAGGCACAGATATGTAAACAAACAGTGACATATTTGGAATTTGAGATTAAGAAAGGCAAACAAAGTCTGATGACAGAAAGAAAACAGGTAATTTCAGCCCTTAAATTCCCCATCAACCGAAAGCAATTGCGCATATTTTTGGGAATGACTGGATTTTGCAGGATTTGGATTCCTAACTTTGGATTAATAGCAAAACCCTTATATGATGCTCTCAAAGGCCTGGACTCTGAAGCTTTGTCTTGGAATCCAAAATGTCAAAGAGCCTTTGATGAAATAAAGGGAAAGTTGATCTCGGCACAGCATTAGGGATGCCAGATCTCAGGAAGCCATTAAGACTTTGCATGAGAGCCAGGGGGTTGGCCTAGGAGTACTAATCCAATTGTTAGGGCCAGAAATGCAACCCATTGCATATCTGTCCAAGCAATTGGACTACACCACTAAGGAATGGCCTCCATGTTTGCGTGCTGTAGCTGCCACTTGCAATCTACACAAGGTTGAGAAGTTTACCTTGGGTCAGCCCATTACTGTGTGTGCCACATCAGGTCTTGACATTGTTGGAGCAGAAGGGTGGACTCTGGTTGACCATTAGGCAAATGGGAAAATACCAAGCAGCTCTGCTAGACAATCCTAATGTGAAACTCAATGTTTCCAATTCCCTGTATCCCGCCACACTGCTTCCAAGCAATGTAGATGGACCTGAGGATAAAAATTTAATCCACAAATGCTTAGAAACCATTGACACAGTGTAATCCAGCCGACCAGATCTGACTGACCAGCCTCTGCCAGATCCAGAGTGGGAACTATTTACAGATGGCAGCAGCTTCATGGAGCAAGGCCATCGATGTGCAGGAATACGCAGTGGTGACGCTCCAGGACACCATAGAAGCCAAGGCTCTTCCAGCAGGTATATCAGCGCAGAAATCCGAATAGCCCTGACCCGCACCTTGGAATTCTCTAAAAGGAAGAGAGTCTATGTATTTACTGACTCAAAGTACTCTTTCGTCATTCTCTACATGCACGGGGCCATTTGGAAAGAGGAAAGAGCAAGGACTCCTTACCACCAGTAACAAGGACGTCAAACACCCATTAGAAATCCTGGCCTTGCTAAAGGCAGTAGCTCTACCATCAGCTGTTGCTGCGATGCATTGTCCTGGCCACCAAAAGGGGGGTCTGACATGGCAAAGGGCAACAGGGCAGCTGATCTGGTGGCCAAGGCCGCGGCCTGTTCTGCTCTCCAGGGTGCACTCATCCCTTTTGTGGACCTGACTCGTTATGTCCCTGAATACACTGAGTGGGATGAGGAGAGAGCTCGTGCATGGGGATTCACTGAGTCTGACCCCAGCTCCACTGGGAGAGTAAACCCCCGTGGGATGATACTCCTCCTGGAGGCCCTTTTATATCTGGTCTTAAAACATCTGCATGAAGGGTCCCACTATGGGAGAGATGCCTTATTAGAAACAGTGCGTCCATATTTGAAGGGACCATATTTACAAAAAATAGCACAATGGATCACCTGAGGTTGCTAAATATGTGCCAGGAATAACCCCAAGACTGACTCACACCCTAACGCAATTGGAGTTCAATATCGGGGCAAGTGCCCTTTTGAGGACTGGCAGGTGGACTTCATATAAATGCCTAGAAGAACAGGCAATTTCAAATACCTACTGGTTTTTAGTTTTCAAATACCACTGGTTCAAATACCACTGGTTTTGTGAATACATTCTCAGGGTGGGTGGAAGCATTCCCCACCAGGACAGAAAAAGCATCAGAGGTTGCAAAACAGCTGTAAATGAAATAATCCCTCTCATTGCCCCACTCCATCCAGAGTGATGATAGGCTGGCATTTGTCTCTGACATTACTCATGCATTAAGCAGTGTGTTACAGATCAGCTGGAAATTGCATGCTGCATGGAGACCACAGTCTTCTGGACAAACTGAAAAAATGAACCACACCTTAAAGAAGACCTTGGCAAAACTGTGCCAAGAAACACAGCTATGTTGGGACCAGGTACCAGCCCTTGTACTCCTTTGGATAAAGGTGGAATGTAGAAGTGGGCTACAATTAAGCCCCTTTGAGATTGTGTTTGGAAGAAGTAGCTCTACCACCTTCCAGGCCTCAGTTCTGAAAGCCGGTCCAGAAATAGCACAAGATTGCTGGATCATGCAATATGTAAAACATATCCAGTAGGTTCTGGCAGTAATTCACAACTTTGCAACCTCACGGATCTCCATGCCTCCTGATCAACCATTACATCCCTTCAGACCTGGAGATCAGGTTTTACTCAAGAGTTGGCAGAGTGGGGATGCCCAAAACCAGCTGTCAGTAAAATGGACTGGTCCACATGATGTTTTACTAAGCATAAACACTTTTTTAAAACTTGCGGGCATGAAGCCCTGGGTACATCATTCCAGAGTTAAGAAAGCCCTAGAAGGAACTGACCCAGATATCAAAAACCCACTGGAGTTGTGAACCCATTGAGGACCTGAGATATTTATTTAAGAAAAAAGAGAAAAACTTAAATGTTACTAAATTTTCTTCTTTTCAGCTACTGCAGCAGGATGCCCTGGGATTCACTTTCTGGAAAAAACCCTGAGGTGACAAACAGGCTCTAACCCATCTTCTTCCTTTCAAAGGTTAGGGGGATGTGGAATAACATCTAGCATCATGCAATTATACTGCGAAAGGCCTTCATCTTGATTTTAGTATTTCCTTTTAACTTTTGTTTTTTTAACACTGACTGTTTTTTTTTTCTTTTTTTGGCTTGTTTTTGTTAATTTTTTTTGGCCTGTTAGTGAAACTGCAGTTGTGACAGATACTCCCACGTGGTAAATGATAACTCAAGAACTCTCTGTGTCTGTATGTTGTATGTCTGTATATCCTTTCCTTGTGCTTAACTGTCTTGGCCTCTAACGGTTGTATTATTGTATAGACATTGTGAAAAAAAATGTAATGGAAACTGGTACAGGTGTTTTAAAGAAACATGATCTGTGATAATTTTGGTTACTAGAGACTAACTTGTAATTTAATGGGTTGTTTTAAATCATGTACTTATAAGGTTGTATAATTTTATCTAGTCTGGGTTAATTATGTTGGGTACGTAATCATCTTTAAGTGTCAGAAATAATGGGAGTTTGGAAAATTTAAGGTTCTTGGGAAGAAAGAAGACTTCGGTTATGAGGAAAAACGAAAGGTTATGGTTTCACTATCAACATTGTACAGCTGAACTGAGCCAGAGCTTTCAAAAAGTGAATATTGTTGCTGCTGTGTTTTCTGATCTTTACGACAAAGCTCCCCAGAAATTTAAATTGAAGTAAAATTTGGTAGTCTGTCATTTGGTTGATAGAAGGAAATTTTGTGGAACCTCAGTAGTGCTCCTGAGATACTCCCTACAAGTTCTCCCTTTCCTCCTGCAAAAGGCATTAGATAAATTCGTCCTCTTTGGTTTACCTGGTGAAGTAAAACTGAAAGGGAAGCATTGTCACTTGGGGAAAAAGTAAAATTTTGGCATGTACAGAAATGTTAACATTTGTTTTCTGAAACTTTCAGAAAACATTTCAGTACCTCATATGTATGCAGATTGTTAATTTTAATTGTTGTCCTACAATATTATATACTTCAATGGTTTGTATCTACAGAAATTGTTTCTAGAAAAAGACCTCAACTGATTCCAATTAATGGAACTTTTTTTTTTAAGATTTATTTATTTACACATATGGATGCTGGGGTACAGGTGAGAGGTGTATGTGTGCAGGGGTGAGAAGATTCACCAGAGACAGAGTGGGGAACAGAACAGGCAGATTGACTGAAATACATTGCTAAGGGAGCAGCAGGCAAGTCAGGAGAGGTCTGCTGCGCCATGTGGGTAGCTCCCCAGCTGGGCATCGAAATCATGATTCAGTGGCTGTGGTCCACTCCATAGGTTGCGTCTTAACCCCTTGCAGCACCAGGGAGGCCCCAATTGATGGAACTTCTGACAGTGAAAATTTCCTACAAAGGACTGAGTAAACTATGAGATAAACCTGATTCTTGATAAGTTTTGTTTCAAATAATACTAGTGGGTTTCTTTGCATCCTGTTTTGATTCAAAGAAAGTTTTCTTGTTTTGAATAACCAGGATCTGCAGAGATGTTGCATTTTTTTTTTTCCCAGTAGAGCTAACTTGTGTTTGCATCTGCTCTCCCCTTGATGCTGTAACAGGGTGGAGCCCAGGAAAAGAGGAAGCTCCAGGTTTCCTGCCTCACCCAAAGGAGCTGAGCAGAGAGGAGAAAAGGCTGGAGAAGAGACTGAGGAAGGAAGGAAGCAGGATGGAGCCAGAAAGAGACCTGGAGGAGGCACATGGAGTGGAGAGACACGTGAAGAAACTGCGCTTGCCTTTTTTGGTAGTGGACTGGTTGAAAGAGATGCGGGTGAGAAACCTGTGGGGAGGTTAACAATGGCAGCTTTTATCTTGAATTTGATTTTTCTCTTTTCCTCCCAGATTTGTCTGGTTATTTCTGACCCTTTTCTGTGGGTCCCTGCCAGAAGGTGCTTTAGACTTGGGACAGGCTTTGGGGCCTTGCTCTGGGCCAATCCCATTTGGGTGGACTTTTACCCACGAGGCGACAGATAACTTTGGGTGCTTGATTTAGAAACTATATTCTTTGTCTTTTCGGTATTGTTCCCTAATTGTATTAAAGTTCCTTTCCATTAAAGTCTTATATGTTTTGTGTTGATGCGGCAGATGGCAGAACCTATTTAGAGCAGGCAGGTTTGCGGGGTCTGGGTTGCCCCTCTCCCTGTCCTGTATCAATACCAACATAGTATTAAAAATGGAGGTAGTTATATTTACTATTTGTGGCAGTCTACTTTTTGTATAATTTCAATAGGGAATTTTGTTGCTTAAAATGGAGAATTGGAAACGTGTTTCATTGTATGGCTTTGATTGAAATTCTTGATTTTGACCTGAACGAAGAAGAGAAGAACGTGCTGCTTTGATTTTAGGTTCTAGAGACCTCCAAAGAATGTGAGGAAGCTGCCTCCAATGGCAGGACTGAACAACCCAGAAAAAGAAAAAGTCCTGGTAACCTAAAGAAAAGGAAAGCCCAGGTGGAGCCTGGTGAGACCCACCTAGTTCCTGAAGCCTGCACAGACCGGATGTCAAGAGTTCACTCTGATCCTATATGGAGTATTCCAACAAAGCCAGCTAAAAAATGCTGCTTGGTTATTCTGCCCTGTGATTTTATGCAAAAATAAGCAAAATAGTCTGAAGTAGATTTAGTTTGCAAATATTTTGCTGTACTGTTGGATAAAATTGTGATCAAGGTGGAGAGAATCTGTTTTTAGATAAGTTGAGCCAGTTTTATGATTTTTCTTCTTGTGAGCTTGATATATTTGCTATTTTCTTTTGGCTAATGCTTCCAGATTTTATTTTTCTTTTGGCTGGAACTAATGAGGTATTCTCCAGGAATGGAGGACTTTTGTTTGCCACACTGGACAATACCTGGAGACTGACTGTAGTTTTTCTTTCAAACTGGAACCCTGAAAAATTATTATCTGAGGCTGTACCCCAGAATCCACACATTTGACCTTCATCACCATAGAAATGTTGGGGGAAAGGATGATCTGAATGAACTCCACACACTCCACCCCCACTCCAGACCAGAGAGATCCAAGGCAGCAAGAATTACAAATCCCATAATGTCATCATCACCTAAGGGAGGATTCCTGGAAACTGAGGGTACAGTTAAGCAGCCAGGTTTGGTATAAAACCAGACATGTGGGCCTTGGGGTCTCTTGGTTTTTCACTGGCTCTCAGCATGCTATTGGGGTTCTAGCTCAGCGGAACTGGTAGGAAGCATTCACCAATTTATCTCCCTCTCTTTCTCCCTGAGTCATTCATTTCTTCATTTCCCCTTCTTTCATAAATAAACCATTTATTAACCTTTTGTGTG